TAATACTGAACTGAATGATTTTGGTTTCCTAGTGTGGTCCACCTTGAAGGGCTGATAAGTGAACAATGGCAGGAGGTATCTTGCCAAAGAAGAGATTATTGGTGACATACATCTTCACCTGCCGTTCTCTATTCTGCTACCACCAGTGTCAGAGGTAGCAGGAGCAGCCATGCCTAAGTTCACAAGGCTTAACGACTTTTTTTGAATACAGCATCAAAGGCACAAATATTAGGAAGAAAAATCAGAGTCTTAAAATATACCTCTTCTGGGTTTTCCCTTTTCCAAATGAACAATTTGTAGGTAAACTCCTCAATTAGGTCACCATATGGAAATAAAGGCGGTTCAATATTGACTACAATATCCTGATTATCAATGGAAAGATTGAACTTTGGAGGTCCTATTCGGCCTGAAAGAGTTGCAAAATTTCTTATTAGTATCAACTTTTGACAGCAAAACACAACACTCTAATAAAACGCTTATTTATATAGAAATAGAATGCAATGGTATAAGTCACCTTCTGGGAACAATTAGGTAGGAAACGCAACCAAGAGACGACTTTTGCAAAGTGATGAATATTGCCAAAACTCAAAATCCCATCTGCCTTATAAAATTTGGAGAGTGCAAGAATATTTTTGGGATGACGTGCTTCTGATTCATTCTACTTAATCCTGTCCTGTTGCTGTCTGTACCCCATCTTGGAGGAAAATAAAAGTAACAAAGCATTGAAAGAGACGATATGCACCCCTTTCTCAGGAGAAGGGAACTTCTCCTAACTTGAAAGACGGTGGGGTGCTTTGTGTTCTTCGAGCTTAGTTGTTTCCTTGCAGACATTTCATTACCAAACTAGGTGGCATCATTAATAATCTTTAATATTTAACTTCTAAAAAGTGATAAATACCTTTGATCTAAACCAGTGTTTCTCAACCTTGACCATTTTAAGGCATGTGGACTTCAACTCCCAGAATTCCACAGCCAGCATTGCTGGCTGTGGAATTCTGGGAGTTGAAGTCCACATGCCTTAAAATGGTCAAGGCTGAGAAACACTGATCTAAACTGTATGTATGAATGATCACTTACCATCCCTGAGAATGTCAAATTTTTGTTCAACGTATTCAGATTGGTGTTGTCCAGAAACAGCTTTCACTCCTACCCAGAAAGTTTCACAGTTATCAGTTTTGTTGGTAAGATCACAATAATGTTGCTTTATGTTAATGCAAGTATCAATTTCCTTGTAAACACCAGTGCTACCGAAAATGAAAAAAAAAAAAAAGGGTCAGTTTATAGTCAAAACTATTTTTAAAAAGTAAAAAGAAAATGTGTGTCTATTGGTTTTGCTGATTTACTGGGCAACAAAATCAGTGACAAAAATTGAGAAAAGCATTATAAAGCAAAATGCAGAGTTTGAAATTTAAATAGTCTTACCCGTAGCACTTGATCTGCACTGTAAATAAAGGTTTTAAGGATGGGCTTCCATAATCCCAGTATACAGAGATGTTGTCGTTATATAATTTTACAGTAACGTTTTTCGGAGAAGGAACTAAAAAGAAAAAAAAATACAGATTTTAATGAAGTTTTAAAACGGCTATAAAGATGCTACCAGTAACTATCATCTTTTACTAGGGAAGGTTTTGAGATTTATCCTAGAAGAAACAGATGCAGGAATCAGGCAGGAATCAGGCTCAGGTATAGGAGTGAAGCATGTAGGACTTTGATTAATGACCTCTGCTGAGACCTGGATGTGGGGGAAATGTGCTTCTCCTGGATCTCTCATCAGTGTTTGCCGATCGCTGGTTTACAATAATTCTGCTCCTTTCTGAGCAAACAGTAGTAATCAATATGAATGTGTGGGGGAAGAGATGTCAAGCACACATGACTCTTCCAGTAATAAAGCTCTCTCATAAATAGATAACAGCGAGAAGTTATTTATTACTTTGGTGAGACATCGTCAGTATGCTAATAATGCTCAACTGTATGCTGCCATTTCAGGCCAGACCACGCCAAGGATGTTGTAATGGTTCTGACCCAGTATCTGGAGGCTATGAGGGGCTGTGTGGGCCCAAACATGTGTAGCGGGGACTGCCTGAGAGTGCTTGCAGGAGCTTGACTGGGAAGGAAAAGATTGGGACAGCTGCAGTTGGCTTTGGGTGTGGCTGGCGTGAGTGGAAGGAGGAAGGATAGAAAAGGAAAGGAAAGGAGAAGGCCGGGGTGGTTGGAGTTGAGAAGAGAAGGTCTGGAAGCTTATTTTATTTTTCTATC